ATTGCTTATCCGGTGATGAGGTAACTTTTAGCTTTATTTTTGGTTTCAGCTCTTTTTCGGCAAGTATAGAAATATTTAAATTATTTTGAAAAATCGTCGAGAATGATGTAACCGTAGATATTCTCTTTTCGGTAAAAATAACGACAAATCCGGTTTAAGTCCATGCATAGACAATCTAAAATTTGCAATATGAATTTATATTCTAAATTCTATGCATACCCGTTCATATTTGTCAATATTTCATTTGAAGCTTTTATTTGTCATAAGATTTTAGCAAAATGTCAGATAGTAAAGGCAACACCGCACCCTGCAGCCCAGTTGACAAGAACGACAAGCTGTCAAGATTAGGGATGTTTAGATCTACGAAAAGTATCGATGTGTATCGATTCTTATCGTTTTAGGAAGAATCGGTACTCTAAAATATTGGAATAAAATTATCGATATCCAGCGGAAAGAAACAAAGAAGAAAAGTAATTTGAAGTTAGCCACTCTTTCTGACACAGTCCGGATCGAAAGATGACGATACTCGTGAAATGTATCGATACAGTGTCGTATATAAAAATATCGATCCAAAATTTTGGGTATGGGAAGCAAAAGTATCGATACTTCTAAATATAGGAACGTATCGAACATCCCTACTGTCAAGATGTATAACCCGAGGTACCGACGGAGCTATTTTGCGGCGTCATGGAAATAATTTTAAATTTTCATTTGCATTTTTTCAAGTGTTGTGCAACACCCAGTTTAAATGGTTTTATTTTAATAAAAGTTGGTGAATGTATTTATCTTACTGTAAATAACAAGTGAAAAAATGTTCAGCCTTATCAGTTGGACATTCCTGTTTTTATACTGCTTTTTTTTAATTCACTAACGCTCTAAAAATGAATACTTCAGCCGCAGTAAAGAATCAACGTTGGCGGATTTTGGTTCTTGACATCCTTTACGATCGGTTACGATGCCTAGAGTACGGAGACCTGTACGATTTCGTCAACTTAGTGAGTTTGATAGGGGCCGTATAGTGGGACTTCGGGAAGTTGGGCTTTCTTTTCGGGCAATTGCAGTTAGAGTGCAAAGAAGTGTAGACACTGTGGTTAGAAGGAATTGACCACCTGATCAGAAGCATGTCTAGGCGCGTTGGAGAATGCGTAGCACATCAGGGTGCATCCACACATTATTAAAGGTCAAAATGCTTTAAAGCAGTGCAATCATTTTGAAATTTTTATCATTTACTTATTATGCTTCATTAAGTACTTATACAAAATTTTATTAAAATAAAACCAATTAAACGGGGTGTTCGGATTTATATGTCACTTAGTATAATTTCTTAATATTCAATAATCTGGTGATGTTTCAATGACAAGCTGTCATCTCGTACGTTGTTTTCAACATTTCATAGCTATTGGTTGCTAAAATTTTTGATGAATAAGTAGAAAACAATGTTTAATTACAAACATTTTATATTACAATAGTAGATGGCCGAACAATTAATCATAATTAATGACTTCAAAAGAAAATTATAATAAAATTTAAGTTGTTAACGCAAAAAGCGTCTAAATTGAATTATTCTGTTAATAACTTAAATTTTATTATAATTTTATTTTGAAGTCATTAATTATGATTGACTTTTCGACCATCTACTGCTGTAATATATACTCTTTGTAATGAAAAATTATATTCTACTTTTAAGTTCGTTAGCTATAAAAGCGTGTTCTTTCAGTTTTTTTAAACTATCATTTATTTTTCATTCTTTAGATCGATTTATCAATTAGTTTTTTGTGGACATGTGGTAGCGAAATGTCTCACGAATCATTTCGTAATCTAATCATTTCATTTAAAGCTTCACTGTTGCATGGGGTTTTTCCTGTTAACTTAAAGCAATCAAGTTCTTTAATCCGAATACCGTCTAAACATCTTACACGACTAAGTGCTACATATGCCTGTCCAGCAGGATTAATGGCAACATTCGCAATGAACAAGAACAGAATGCACTACCTTGAAAAAGTATCTGCCTAGGTTGTGCCGTGCCGACTGCCCGAACCGACAAAGAGTAAGTCCGAAACTGCACGCATGCGCAGATCGCGCTAGCTCTATCTCTCTTATTCCCCTACAGAGGATTTATAAAAAAAATTATCAATCCTGGCGGTCCTAATACGGATAACCGAAAACTGCTATCAAATTATTGCATTGCTATCGGTGCTTGTTACGTGTGCAAAGTTTCTGGAAATTGGTGAAAATTATGCTCAAAGGTTCCGCATACATACTTATATACATACAGGCCAAGCTAATGAAAGCGACTTAAAAATTAAAACGTCTCTCTCCGAAAGTACTTAGAATTTATAAACTTTCTAAGCGGAGTTTTGTCGATTACCTAAATAGGCAACTTTGCCTCCATTTAAGCGACTCCACCCTGTATACGCCACTGCTAGAACGTCTTGTAAGCTACGCAAGTTTATATGGTCTGTGTGGGTGCCAAACGAAATGATAATCGCTCTTCATTGTTATTGTTTCACATTCTTCGATAGAGATATTCGGAAAGGTTACACTTGTCACGTGAACGCAGATTGATTGTCGAATGTTTCCTGGTTTGTCATGTCAAAGAGACAATAGTTATAATGAAGATGCATTTATGTTTATTCGCAAGGTCAATAACGATATTGATGTATGAAATAAGCGAATTATGTGCTCAAGTGCAAAACGTTGCACAAGGATCCTTATGCAATAATTGCCTTCAATCATTGCTTTTCCGGAAGCACGGGCATGTGAGGTAACATCAATTTTATCATAGACAATAGACAAGGAAGTACCTACAATAATAGCCAAAAAATAATCGGGATAAAAACATAGAGGTAGACAAAGAAATATAATTCAATCATTAAATCGTCGATGGATGATGAATATTTGAAAACAACGGATTTATCGAAAAGCATTGATTAAAAGAAAAAACGCCAAGACACCTCGAAAGATTTGTTAAATTTTTTAACCAAAAACTACTCCACCCCCTTTCACCCTCTCCCCCCCAGGATCATTCCCTTGAAAATTTTAAATGACAAGGGGTATCGGGTAACAGCTTGTTTGAAAGGTCTTTCGAATTCCTTTATTTTGATGTTTGATTTTTTAAAATCAGTCGATTCGTTTTCGAGAAAATTCGAAAAATCTGGCAACAACCAAATAACAACCCGAATTTTTTCCGCATTCTTTTCATCAACATGGTTGAGGTTTTGGGTCATTTTGGTATAAATCCTAATACTTCATTACGCAAAATTGTTGCTGCGACTGGTATTTTCTAGATTCTGTATATACGTACACGGGTACTAAACCCCATAAATTTCGATGATTTCGGTAGGCGAGTTGCGTTTTATGCAGCGATTAATGATAAAACCATTCATGTAAAGAATATCTGCTTCAGTGATGAATGCACCTTTTTTCTAAACGGATTTGTTAATAAGCATAACTGCAGGAATCACCTATATCATTGATAAACAAGCTATAACTCGATACCCCTTGTCGTTTAAAATTTTTAAGGGGATGACCCTGGGCGGCAAAGGGTGAAAAGGGGTTAAGTAGCTTTTGGTTTAAAAGTTGTTCCTCTTGACGAATCTTTTAATCAGTAGTTTTCGATAAATCTGTGGTGGTAGGCTATCAAATGAACACCCTGTATGATGTACGACGCAAAGTTTTTTTATTGATATTGATTGATCATATATCTAAACAATTGACAATTGAACCTATATATCATTTAATATCAATTTAATATTCAAATAGACAATTAAATATACAGCGTGTCCGCAAAGTTGGGGTTTTCCTTTTCAGAAACAACCCTTGAAATAACAAAGCTAATGTGTAGTGAAACGAGGGCGACCAAGTAAAAAAAATAAAGGAAAAAGTACTCACTCTCCAGTTGACGAGAAGGGCTAAATACGTTTCTGCCCGAAATCATACCGTTCCAACAGAAAATGAAATCAGCTCATGCGCTACCGAGCAGACGCCGGCGGTGGTGCAGACCAAACAAATAAGACGGCGTTGCCGCGTTTTCAGTTTTTAGGTAAATGTACTTTATAGGTATTGTTCGAAATTATCACCGTTTGATTCAAAAACACAGGTACGTGCACGACGTAGCCAAGCATCGGTGCAGGCTTTGAGAATGGAGTACCTCCCCCGAATGAAAGCACCAGCTTGTTCAATTCTGCGAAGAAAATGTTTGTTGAAACATGACAGCGCGCGGATTTTCTACTGACCAAACATGAGTGTTGCGAAAGTTATTTACCCCATTACGCGTGAACGTAGATTCGTCTGTCACCAATATGCACTTCAAAAAGTCCGGATTATTGTCATGTTGATGCAACAACCACTCACAAAACCGCACTCTTGCTGGAAAATCGTCAGGTTGAAGGGCTTGTACACGTTGGACGTGAAACGGATACAGCCCCTCTTCACGCAGCGTTTGCCACACTACGGGTTCGTTACCTCTACACGCGTGACCGTAACCGTCGGTTGAAGGTTGCATACTGACCTGACACACTGACCCCGACCCAGTTCTGTCGTCGGGTTGAGCTAGTGTCCTAGTACCAGTCGGGGATATCGCGGCGGGTCGCGGCTACAGGACGGTATTCAGATATTTTTGATGTTGCAGAACCCTTTATCTCGGTTCCCTTAAGACATTGGTGTATATGGTACTAAGAAAAATTGCTTATGTTTTCAAGATCTACACGTCGTGTAAAGGAAAACCCCAACTTTGCGGACACCCTGTATTCTATTCAAAAAATATATGTTTGCAATGGCACGAAGTTATGGAATACCCTGTATATATTAAAATAATTGTAAAATATGCACCAGTAAGATATCAAGGTTGCCACGAAGCCGGGTTTTTGATATTTTTTCCAGCTTGCTCATAAAACTCCTTTCCCTTTTGTTGGGACACCCTGTATATGGTCTATCGAAATATGTCAAAACAAATACCATCTATTGCCAGAATCAGCTACATGCATTCTGTATTTTTCCAGTCTCCAGCTACCACAGATTCGCCAACGGGGGAGGGAAACGTGACAAAACCCACCTTGACAGGCAACCCACAAATCGACTACGTATGGGACCCCAACTTGCCGAAGGAACTGAACGGTTACAACCTGTCCGACTACCCCTTCTACGAAAGGGTGCCCGAGGATATCGACTTCAAATGCGACGGTCTACACGACGGTTTCTACGCCAGCGTCAAGCACAAGTGCCAGGTAAGGTGTTGGAAATGGTAGGGTGCATGATTTTGCATGTTGCTGCTTGACGGCTGCTTTTGCTGGGGGAGGTGTTCTAGATAAGACTCGATAAGCCTAGACAATGTTGTAAACTTATGTAAGATGATTGTAGAACGAGAAACGTGAAAACAACGATCCCGCCTTAGAAGATTTTAAAGGGTCACCCTGTCGCATTTTCTGTCTATCAGTAAGGATTCGTCACACGGACTAAATCATAGGATCGTCACACCGACAGTCTAGATGTCCGGACAGATATGCTGAGTTTAAGGATTGTTAAACCACTATCCGGATACACATCCTGCCATGCGATTCTTTCAGACTCCAGCGATTGCCAAGAGAGGAATAGTCGTCGTTTCAACATCCAAAGTGCTCCATTTGCCCTGGCACCTTTCAGGTAACCAAAACACTACAACTAATAGCACAGTAACACTGTTATTGGGTTCACGACGCGCACTACTTGATTTCAGAAGCGACCGTTATACCCATCTGCGTGTAAATGACGCCAGTGGAAGCTTACCCTGGAAACAAGTGCCCAGACGAATGCAACGTAATCAGACTACAGACTAGAGGGCCGCTTAGTGACGGCAGATATTTCACGAATTGTGATGTAGGCCCGATTTTGCTTCTGACCCGCGAGAAGGCGTCTATAAGTAGTGAATTTGGTCGATTTTTTGTAAAATGTCTTCCAAACTATAAAAAAATGATTCGATTCATGTAAGATGGGCTCCTAATTCTCATATTAACTCAATAAATACTTCATATATCACATCTAGAACGTTACATAATGCCAAACATGCTTATGAACGAAAACTCGTTACCTCCAAAAATAAGAAGAAGCTGTTTCGGTATCTAAGAACAAACCTGAATTCCAAAGTTTCATCACCTCAGATCCGCGACTCTGACGGTCATCTCCACATGGATGCCACCGAATCTGCCAACTTACTGGCAGAGTCCTTTAGTGATGACTTCGTCGATGAGCCTAATGGAGACCTTCTACCGACCACTATCTGCCATAGGTGTCCCAACAGCCTTTGCGAAGTTGAGTTCCTGCCTGAAGATGTATTAATGCACCTACGAAATCTGAAGACCTCTTCCTCCCCTGGTAAAGATCTGATGACGGCTGCTGTACTTAAAAACTGTGCTTCAGCACTGGCCCTACCATTAAGCTTGATATTCACATCGTCTTTTAGATCTCATACCCTACCCTCATGCTGGCTTAGCGCTTCTGTTACCCCTGTATTCAAAAAGGGCGACAAATCCTCCGCTGAAAATTATCGACCAATAAGTCTCGTTCCTATCGCCGCCAAAATAGCTGAAAGAATCATATTAGATAAGCTCCTGTCATTTGCTTTCGAAAATGACCTTATCCCTAAGAATCAGCATGGATTTCTCCCTGGTCGATCAATAATGACCAACCTTCTCCACTCTCTCAACGATTGGACTCAGTATCTGGACACAAAGACTCCTGTTGATATAATCTACTTAGATTTTTCTAGGGTTTTCGATCGCGTACCACATAGAAGGCTTCTGTTTAAGTTGGAATGTATGGGAATAAGAGGCGAGTTGTTACTGTGGATTAAGGCTATTCTCACCGGGAGGACTTTCTCTGTGCGCGTCAGTGATAGCCAGTCTCACCTTCATCATGTAGCAAGTGGAGTTCCTCAAGGCTCTGTCTTGGGGCCAGTGCTGTTCCTTCTGTATACAAGTGACCTGCCCGCACTGATTTCCTCCAAATGTTCAGCTTATGCCGACGACACCAAGATTTACAATACTGTCGTAAATTCTGCTATGCTTCAACGAGATCTTGATATTGTTTGTCAATGGTCAGTCAGTTGGCTTTTACCCTTAAATCTAACTAAGTGTTGTGTCCTTCACCTCGGGAAGACAAATCCGCGATTTACATACAAGATCTCTGACCACAACATCGAAGCAGTTTCCAGCCACACTGATCTGGGCGTTGTAGTCAACGATCGTTTTTCCTGGTCAGAGCATATTCACCACGTTACATCAAAAGCCAAGAAACTTCTATACATGCTGGAGAGGTCTTTCAAAGGATCCGATGTCAACAATTGCGCCTACATTTACAAGGCATTCGTGAGGCCAATTCTTGAATTCGCTGGTCCGGCATGGGACACTGTGCTTCTGCGCGATAGAAATCTCGTCGAATCAGTACAGCGTCGGGCTACTCGTATCCCTTTTGGAGCACGAAGACCAAGCTATGAAGATCGCCTTGAATTATTCAACCTGACCTCATTCTCTGAGCGAAGACTTCGTGGCGATCTTATAGTTACGTTCAGGATACTTCATGGTTTGATGGGCACCAACCTCATGCATCTATACCGTCTGTCGCGCAGCAATCTACGCGGACACAGCTTCAAACTGCATAAGGAGCCATTTAAAACAACAGTCCGACAGTGGTTTCTTCCCAACCGCATATTCAACACCTGGAATAGTTTACCTGAAAGTGTGGTTGGTGCTACTTCAGTTAATAGCTTCAAAGTGCAGTATGATAGCTGGGAGGAGTGTACAAACTTTATAGCTATGAACTGTCTTTTTTTATTTTTTTCTATTTGATGTATTTGTGTTACGTGTCCGTACACTATATTTTCTGCATGAGCTTATAGTACTGTGTACTCTGCTCATCTCAATTATCATAATAATAATAATAATAATGACTCTGCTACAAAAACCTATTTTTCATTTGCGTACGGCTGAACCATACCCTCCTTATTCTTGTTGCACCACATGCACCTAAAACGTGAGTAAAACTTGAGTTAGACCAAAGAATTTCTCTGCTCAAGGTGGATTTTCTAATATTAAATGTCAACTTGCTAGTTTGGCATTTTAATGATTTGACCTACTGATCAAAAGCGAACACAAAGAAATTGAACATGTATATCGTACAATGCCTACGTATGTCTCTAAGATACTCAAAAGTATAATGCACGGATCATATTCCTATCTCGCTCTAAAACTATACTGACTGAAATGTAAACGCCTACGTATGTTTATAAAAAATTTAATAATTTTTACATAGCGATTTATCTTGCCATGAACAACAAGTGATAAAGATATTCTAGAAACATGCATCAAATGAAAAATGCATGTAGATACAATACTAACCTCTTGCGCAGGGCTATCCTTCTATGAGGCATGCCCCTATTTTGACTACACAATGGACTACCTGAAATGTTTCTCGTGTATTCACACGACGCTCATGTGAATAAAAATTATTATTCTTATAAAGGAAAAGAAAAGTAAAATAGACAACTTGGGCTCCGCCACACCAAGCTGCTGTTCCATTAACAACTAGCCACTCCTCACACCGTGAGCTAAGCAAATCGTATGCCCTAGTAACCGAGGATGCTCCAGCAGTGTTCATGTTGATCTTCAGTTAAGCAGGAGCTAAGTCTATAATAGACTGCTGGCATTCCCGCTTAAACTCGAGTATGAGACTGAGTTCCTTGGCTGCTATTTTCGTTGCTCTAATAGCCGCTTTACCTGCATTCTCGTGTTCACACACTCAATAGTCCATGTCCTCCCTGATATCTTGAAAGGTATACATACTAAGTGACATATAAATGTGTGGATGCACCCTGATGTGCTACGCATTCTCCAACGCGCCTAGGCATGCTTCTGATCAGGTGGTCAATGTCCTCCTGTGGTATCTCATTCCAGGCAACCACCAACTCCTCCCGAAGTGCTTCTAGAGTCTGAGGAGGACGTTGCAAATTGAGCAATCTCCTACCCATCATATCCCACACGTGCTCAATTGGGGATAAGTCGGGAGATCTTGGTGGCCATGGTAACAATGTGACATCACTATGTTGAAAGAAGTCTATTGTGACTCTTGCAACATGTGGTCATTATCTTGTTGGAAAGTTGGATCTGCCTCTGATGAAGATTAAAGGTGACCTGGAACCATAAGCTATAGCACTCCAAACCATAACTCCAACAGTGTGATGAACATGTCTTTCAACAAAAAACTGTGGATTCCTCCTTTCGCCACGTCGCCTTCTAACCCTGGCACAACTATCGTGCATGCCTAAACAAAATCGAGACTCGTCACTAAAGACAATACTGTTCCATTCCTGATCCCAGACTGACCGTTGTCTGCACCACTCAAGGCGATTACGTCGGTGTTCTCGAGTTAAAGGGAGGACCCAGTGTGGCCAGTATGAAAACAAGCCAAAACTTCTCATTCGTCGGTAAACACTTCGCATGCCAATAGGTCTTCCGTGTTCTGCAAACCATTCATTTGCAATGGACCTGGTAGTGGACAAACGGTCCCTTAAAGCCAATAATCTTAGGCGGCGATCTTCACGGTCTGTTGTTCTACGACGGCGTCCAGTGCCCCTTGCTCTTTGCGTACGGCCTTCTCGAAGCCATGCCTGACAACACCTAACCACAGTGTCTACACTTCTTTGCACTCTAACTGCAATTGCCCGAAAAGAAAGTCCAGCTTCCCGAAGTCCCACTATACGGCCCCTATCAAACCCACTAAGTTGACGAAATCGTACAGGTCTTCGTACTCTAGGCATCGTAACCGATCGTAAAGGATGTCAAGAACCAAAATCCGCCAACGTTGATTCTTTACTGCGGCTGAAATATTCATTTTTAGAGCGTTAGTGAATTAAAAAAAAGCAGTATAAAAACCGGAATGTCCAACTGATAAGGCTGAAAATTTTTTCACTTGTTATTTACAGTAAGATAAATACATTCACCAACTTTTATTAAAATAAAACCATTTAAACTGGGTGTTCGGATTTATATGTCACTTAGTATATGTGGAATTGAGATTGATGATGCAAACTTCTGGGCATATTTATCCTTTTTCGGGTTTCGGTGTCGAGTTACCGCAGCTCGTCCGCTGTCCAGTGGATGGCCCCGGAGGTGTACAATAGCAATGAGACAAGCATGTTCTTACCAGACAGCTCTGATGATCAGATCTGCCTGAGTCGGAGGTACTAGCAGCGGAA